ACATTTTGCTGATCCCTATAGAAACTAATTGACAATAATAACTATATAGAAAGCTAAAGCCTTCAATTAAGATTCCAAACACGAGCAGCATATTGGCAATGAATTCCTCAAGCAAGAAATCCCACTCTCGAGTTGAACAAGTAGAAACATGTGTCTAGCGTGGGAATTTGTGTACTACCTAGGATGTGTGTGTCTACTTATTCAATTTTATACTAGCTTAAGTATCTCTTCGTGTCTATCTATAGTTAGAGGATATAAAATTAGTTAAAGTTAAGTTAACGAACATATTTGTCTATTATGCTAATTTAGATGCAAAGCTAAATGTTGGAGCAGCCTTCATTCTTGAACAGAGACCTCTGCAGTTCCAACTTAATCAAGCCGTTGAAATTTTCTACAATTAACTTGTTTTCAAAAATATTTTTATTTTATGTGAACGGAACTTGCAATAATTCCACCCCATATAGCTCATGAAGATGATACAACTCATGTTAGTCAATGCCAAAGACTTGCAAAATTTCCAAAAAAAATGATAGAAAATCTCCCATTATTTCCACAAATTGAAAGCTTGGCCAATTGAAATGTTTCTACAAACATTTGTTTTTCTTTGGTATTTACTTTCATGGATAGTGAGACCATTGAGTTGAAGTCGTTCTACACGTAATTCACAAGGTGAAAAATAAATGCTATTGACTCACCTAAACTTATAACACTTCTTGAAGTTATACTAATTAAACTTCTTTTTAAATTTTTTTTATCTTATATTTAATATTTACATCACAGATAAGTTTAAAACTCAAAAGGACTCAACTTTAAGACCTCATATTAAAAATAAAAAATTATTTACCAAACTACCACAAACACTTATTTTTCATTTTTTTTCTATTGACACTAAGAAATCCCCTAATTTGTGCAGTCTTAAAACGTATTATTAATAAAACATTGATGGATAAATTTGAAAATAAAATCTTGGGTATTTCACGTTAGAACGCTATCAATGACAAAAAACAAATAAGAGATGATCTGCTAATAATAAAGATATGAATTGACCAAAAATAAGGCAAATTTATTGTTGAATGCCTTGAATCGGACCCGCTACAAACAGAAAGGACGGGGGTCTCGCTGCCCGGTCAGCGAGTCGGGGGGTCCAGGGGGGCGACGCGCCCCCTGGCCTGGGGTCCGGGGGCGGAGACGCCCCGGCCCGACGGTATACAATGTTGTTGTATTGAGCCCTTAATTTTCTGTTGATTCTGTATGTTGGGCCCAAGCCTGTTAGGGCGTAGCTTAGCACTATATATAGACGCTATGGAAACCCTATTCTGTAATTCTGTTTTTGCCTCTCCATAATAAAACTGCTCCCTCTCTTCCCGTGGACGTAGCCAATTTATTGGTGAACCACGTAAATCTGTTGTCTTGTTTTTCGCGTTTATATTTTCTCGTATTATCTCAAATTTCGCACAACATTTATAAACGAGAATTAGCATAAATTTGAGACGATTTATTAACGGAAAATGTATGAATAGACGAAAAGTGTAACAAGGGCACCATTCATTAATGGCAAGACCAAATTTGCAAAATGTTGTCTTTCAAATTTGGTTAAAACTAAAATCAACATGACTAAGAGCCTGGATCAACATATTTTATGTTTTGTAAAGTTGAAATAGTTTTAAGTAATTTCATAATGTTTGAATAAAATAAAATAAAAAATATTTAGAAGCACTTGTTTTTAAGTTACGACTAATAAAAGTAAGCCAAAAATTAATACAAACAGGTTCTAAAAACTTTCGAATGGAGTTATTTTTAAGTGATTTTAAATCAAAGTAGCTTTTAAGCATTTTTATAGTGTTAGAGTATTAAAAAAATATGTTTTTTAAGCACTTGTTTTATGGGCAACTTTCACATATAGCAAACACAAAACTCAAATTTGTATGTTATAGCAAAATTTGCATAATTGCGCTCCATAGCAAACATCTATATGTATAATTCGGTATACATATATAACTGAAAGCTATGCCTATTTCGCTATACAATTGGACAGGAAATATACAATTGAATCGAATTGTATAAAAAGAAAAATTATATACAATTTGAATTGTATAAAACGAGAAAGAGAGAAAGGCAAAAGAGACTTGGACATGGAAATATTTGTATTGTATAATTATAAGTGTGTGAGACAATTATATACAATTTGAATTTGTATAAAACGAGAAAGAGAGAGGCAAAAGAGGCTTGGGCAGGAAATATACAATTGAATCGAATGGTATAAAACGAGAAAAAGAGAAATTATATACAATTTGAATTTATATAAAACGAGAAAGAGAGAAAGACAAAAGAGACTTGGGCAGGGAAATATTTGTGTAGTATAATTATAAGTGTATAGGATGGAATATATATATATTTGCATGTGTATGTATAAATTTCTCTCGCTTTATGCAAATAAAAACACAATTTATACATTTTTATTGTATAAAGCGAGAGAGGCGAGAGACAGAGAGCAAGCAAGAATATGAGGGAGAGAGGCGACTGACAAATAATTTGCTATGAAACACAAATAAATCAAATGATAGCTATTATATTTATTTTACACTATTATTTAGTCATTCTATGCAATTATCCCAAAATTTCATAGACGACAAAAACTGCTTAATTACATGATCAACTCTTATCTGACCCTTTCTACGTCATATAAAGACATGGAATAATACTTTGATCCTCTATTTCAATTTAGGTGTCTTAGTTACTATTCAGACAATGAAAAAATATAACATTTTTACCTACGTTTTTTAAAATACTTTCTAGATATTTTTTAAGTGCATTATGCTTGATAATACTATATTTTTTTTATGTAGTTCCCTAAATAAATCTTTATTTTAATAAAATTAAGAAATTCATGTACAAATTCATTTGGAACATTATTTAGTTCAAACCTCTTATTCTGGATTAAGATAATCTTTTTCGGAGAGAGGGGGCAATAGAATTCATGGAAATATATTTTATATAAAGGCAAAATTATTAATCAAATGTTTTTTAAAAAAGAAAAGTAAAACAGGAAAAATATTTATCCCTTGATAAAAAATGGCCACTAGAGCAAAGTTTCCATTGGAAAAGATTTTCTCTTTTTATATTTCGTTTTTATTTTTTAATCCAACTTTAGTTACCGACACTAGACCCCAATTAAACATGATTAAATATGACTTTAATTCTTAAATAGTACTCAATAATTACTCCCCCGCCTCTAAAAGGCAATTGATGTTGTGATTTTTGGAGGCACAATACATATAATGCTATCATTACTTAATATGAAGATCATATTTTATATCATACTATATAAGTTATAATAATACCTTAAAATGAAAAACCATATATATTTCACTAACCAAATTCATTAGGAGAGCTTGCAAGGTATTTAATCAGAAGATAATATATATACACATATTAATAGTGTTTAATTGCCTTCTTTCCCTTCGATATCACGCTAGTTGTATTAACTTTCTGTTCTTTAAAAAATAATATAGTTTGATTTGATATGAAGTTTTGAATAAATTAAGAAAAATTTTCAATCAAAGGTTTTAAAATAAAATTATATTAAATGTATTAAATATTATTTAATTTTTTGACCTAAAATATCTTATATAAAAAGCTAAAATTAAAATATTATAAAAAAATTAAAACCATACATTTATAAATCGATTTTTTTACAAAAATAAGTCATTATTCTTTAATTATTTTAAAAGAAATAGGAGAGTAACTATTCTAATACCGGTGTGCAAATAAGTGAAGTGAAGAGCATAACAAACCAGACTATCAATAAGATGCTAAATATTAGAATCTTATAAATATGCAACAAGCACATAAAATTATGAAACGGAAAACATTTGTGGTGCCGTTTTTTAAATCAATTTATAATATGCAATGAATGATTTATCATGGTGTATTATTTTAATTTTACTATTAAATATTTTATTATTATTTTTCACCGTTTAAGTGATAAATATTTAATAAGGATAATTTGATAAAATTATTCTTAGCACTTATGACTATTTAATATCTATATCAAGTTAATACTTTTTCTATTCGAATTTGTTTGTCATATTGTGCTTATCGAAAGTTAATTTGATTAATTTTCAAATGTAAATTAGATTACATTAATTTGATATTTTAAATAAAAAAATTAGATATTCTAAAACTATATGAAAAGTACTATAAATTATAATTTTTTGCATATTAATATGATGAAAAAATTCATCTTAAAATGTTAGTCAAAGTTTTTATAGTTTGATTCTAAAAATAGAAACTATGACAAACAATATTGAACGGAGAGAATTGTGAATATCTATTATTGAATTAACCAGTAATATATTTTTTAAAAAAAAGAAAAAAGTGAAATAAATGGGAACTAAACAACTTTGTAGGCATTTGGTGAAAGGGATATGGTGAGTAGGGGCCACGTGTGAGGATATGTGGATCTTTTATTTAAGATCCATATACCAGTAACTATATAAATACAGTATGCTTATTCATTAAATAAATTAAATTAAAACACGTACATATGGCACGTAGTGGCATGTGATGTGGCCGGTTACTACGAAAATGATTGAAATTTCTACAATCATAATATTACTTTTAATTTAAATTAATTAGGTTTGATTTTTGGTTCAAATGTGAGATTTTTTAATCTTACAAATTTTGTATATTCACCGGCTTTTCTACTATTCAGTATACAATATTTTGTAAATACATACTCCCGCCGTTTCATAGATGGCTGAAGTAACATGAATATAAACATAAATAAATTATAAATATTATGATATATGATATTATTTTTATAAACTCAACGAGATTGCTATAATTTATATTGATATGTATAATTTAATTTAATTGATTGTGTTACCACTCCACGCTAAAAATTAAAAAATAAACACGTAAAGAGGGCCCTATTGTAGATCAAAAGTGATCTTTGTGCGTCTTTAAAAAGGGAAGAAGGAATGTGTAAAAAATTGACTCCCTACTCATCACCCTGCATTTTCGAGTCTTGACAATCATATCCTCCTCCTGCCCACACAGAGAAGAAGAAAAATGGCAAGTCTTACAGTTCCGGCAGAAGTTCCTTCAGTCGCTGAAGACTGTGAACAACTCCGATCTGCCTTCAAAGGTATTGAAGTCAACTTATAATACCATTAAATCTCTCAACAACGAATATACAGATTCACTACTTTGATTTTTCTAGCATATTCTAAATTCTGTTTACTATCTTTTGCGATTATAGAGATCTTATATTTTTTTAGATTGATCGGTGATGTTAACATCAAAATTGATTGAAGTTTTAACTTCTGGAATGATTTGATTGTTACAGGATGGGGAACGAATGAGAAGTTGATTATATCAATTTTGGCTCATAGAAATGCGGCTCAACGCAAATTGATTCGACAGACTTATGCTGAGACTTTTGGGGAAGATCTGCTTAAAGAGTTGGACAGAGAACTTACTCATGATTTTGAGGTCATTTTCATAATTACAGAATAATTTTTGAATTCTTAGTTGATTATTTGAGTTTCTGAGTTACTCTGTGTGATCAAAGGCAGATCTATGATGTAAAATATATATATACACATTATCCGTATAGTAAAACCATGCTAATTCTGAACCCGATACTCTAGATCATGGATTCAACTTCGATTTTATCAGAGACAGATCTATGAAAAATATGTATTAGTATGTCAAAATATGAAAATGTGTACATATATAATAAAATCATACGTGTTTTGAATTCACTGACTCGAGATCCTGGATTTGCCTTTTGACTTTTTGATCGTATGTGAACTTTGATCAGAAATGATAACCAACACTTGTACTTGTGTTTTCTCTTGAATGTTTCTCGCAGAAATTGGTGGTAGTATGGACACTGGATCCTGCAGAACGTGATGCCTATTTGGCTAAGGAAGCTACTAAGAGATGGACAAAAAGCAACTTTGTTCTTGTGGAGATAGCTTGTACCAGATCTCCTAAAGAACTGGTTTTGGCAAGAGAAGCTTATCATGCTCGTAACAAGAAATCTCTCGAAGAGGACGTTGCTTATCACACTACTGGGGATCACCGCAAGGTATATCATTCAAAGCATTCTAATTGCAAGTAGTCTCATTTGTAGCTCTGTATCCGAGTCCTTAACAATAATTCATTAAGTTGTTGTCAAATTAAATGAGGTTTGAATGGTGCCCATGAAGCATTTGCTCTGTTTTTGGAGATCTAAAGACATATAATCGACAAAGTACAACTTTTTAATCTATAGTTCTTGTTATCGTAACATATTCTCAAGGCAAGAATGTCTTTGTGCCACATTGCAATGTAGGGTATATCTAATGTTCATTGAACTCCATGTTTGTTTGGATGAATACTGACAGTGAATTAACTTTGTGTATTGATCATTTAAGTTTCCAACTTCTTACAGCTTTTGGTACCTCTTGTGAGCTCCTACCGATATGGGGGAGATGAGGTGGACTTGCGACTTGCTAAAGCAGAATCTAAAGTGCTGCATGAGAAGATCTCCGATAAGGCTTACAGTGACGATGAGGTCATTAGAATTTTAGCCACAAGGAGCAAAGCGCAACTCAATGCTACTTTGAATCATTACAAAGATGAATATGGTGAGGATATCCTAAAGGTACAGATTCATCCGTTGCTCCATTTCTTTCAGTCATACGCCTTTCTACTGTAGGACTGGCTTTCTATTTCTGCTATATTGAATTATTGAGTTCTTTTGTCAATGTGCAGCAATTAGAAGATGAGGATGAGTTTGTTGCACTGTTAAGGGCCACCATAAAAGGTCTTGTCTACCCCGAGCACTATTTCGTGGAGGTTCTTCGTGATGCAATTAACAGGAGAGGAACAGAGGAAGATCATCTAACCCGAGTTATCGCTACAAGGGCTGAGGTCGATCTGAAGACTATCGCTAACGAGTACCAGAAGAGGGATAGCGTTCCTCTGGGTCGCGCCATTGCCAAAGATACAGGAGGAGATTATGAGAATATGCTGGTGGCTTTACTTGGACAAGAGGAGGAATAAGAAGCGGATTGGCTCACTTCTGTTTTATAATGACCAGAATAAATATGCCATTCTCCCATATATTTCAGAGTTGGCATGTGTTTGATGATTGAGTGTGGTCTGTTTCACATGAGCTTTTAGTCCTTTTCTTCTTGTGAGAAACTTTGAATATGAATCTTTGTGCTGTCTAAAAATGTTCTCTAATGATTTGCATCCACTACAATAATCTTCAACTACGCGTAAGTTTCAAAAAAGTTGAGATCTATCAATGTCTCTTCATCTAATCTAATCTTACTTCAGTTTATGCATAATACAAGACAAAGCTAACTCCTTGATGTTAAATACACCAGATAAGCACGAAAATCGTAACCAGTAATAGAAAACAGCAACTTAATTAAAGATGAGTCAAAAGACTGTCACCATCCCTTACAATCTTACACATCTTAAAATTTGAGCAAAAAAGCATCATACAAAGAAGCATCAACCAAAATTGTTGCATGACATACAACAGTCTAATATGTTACTGATCACCTTAATAGGATCATAGATAAGATACATTCCACATCCAGTTACCTAAATAGATAAGGTAATAGTAAGAGAACAACAACATTTTACTCTCACTTGGAGCATTACTTCTTCAGTAGTCGACGAGAGAAGATCTTCTTGCAGTATGGACTGGTTCGCAGGAGAAGCATGTGAGGCCGCACAGCATGAAGCAACAAAGTTCGAACCGGTCCCTGATTCAACGTAAAATGTACAAGGAATAAGAATGCAATCACTGAAACAGTCACCTGGTTTTTTTAAACAGATTTTCCCCATGTAACTACTTTGAACATAAAAATTAATGACACTTGGTATTAAATCAGAGCTTGAAGAATCCTAAGTATATGGAAACAAGAAGTTTAAAACATGCAAGTGTCACAGAAACATAACAAGTTCAAATGCTAACCTTAGTAACGCCAAGTGCAGACTGAATCACGTAGTTAGCAAAGGGATCTTGCAGTAATTGATCAAAATGTGGTTCTGAGACTAACTCATTGATGATTTTCGACCTTCCTTCTTCAAAACACTTCAGGAGCTTTTCAATAACATGACTGCTAAACTTTTGCCTTGAGAGGTATACATAATGCCTTTCAAACTGAGAGAGCAACATGGCAGCAACAGAGGGTATCTTTAACTCTATTATGAATTGAATAACATAATTCCTGTATCATGAGTTGAGAAAATTCCAATAAGCTCTAGTAAGGGAACGGAACCGAAAGACGCCACAAAATGACTATGCAGGCAATACCTCATGTTGCAGCAAGGAAAAGATAAAAATCACAGAGTATATAATTCTCTTGATGTTAAAAAGAAAATATTTATGAAATGCAGGCATAGTTCAAGAATACAAAGTAAAAAAGATTGAAGAGTTGCTTGTTTGTGGTGCACTTGGGGATTATATCAGAGGCAGAAAATGTCACCATTGAACTCCCTATCATGACCAAAAAGAGAAAAAGAAAAACTCCACTACCAGTAGAGTGAAACAATCTGGACCACTCATTCCTTAAGCGAGTTCTGGTAATGAAAGTGCAGAAATGGGATTACCTCGCAATATAGGAAGGAATGTGTACGAGATAATCAAATGAATTTTTGTTCAGATGTTCCATTAAAAAGAAGTCCAAAAACAATCAAGTACTATTCGTCTCGGTAGTTATTTCCGAGTTTGTTGGAATCATCTTTCCAATGGATGACAGTTAAATTTGTCAATTGAATACATACATAAAAGTTGATGTGATATACAAAACCATAAGAGGCCAACTGCTGAGCCATATTCTATAAACACTCTCACACACTTCTATGAGTCTGCTGGCATTTGATTACTGCTAATCTATATCAAGAGGCTAGTGCCTTAAATGTGGTAACATGGTTATTTAACATGATCCTGGAAAAATATAACACTTACAAGGGTGCAGATAACTTGAAAATATGCAGGCATTCTAAATGTTTCCAAAATTTGAACTAGTAGTACACACATTAGAACAGTAGAAAAACACAGTGTGCCATCATGTGATACTTAATCAGAATGAGTTTTTTCAGCAAGTCCCTTTTGTCTCTAAAATATCTTAGGAAGGTTCTGAGCTAAAAGATCAATTAAGTAAAGAACCAAAGTAGAAGTTCTGAAGTTTACCCAAAAGGATCTTGAGCAAGCTTAAGCCCATTAGAGCAAATCTCAGCAAGCAACTTGTCACGTTGCTTTCCAGTTGAATAAGTGATGCATTTATTCAGCACGCAGCAACCATAACGATGTGTTGCAATATCAACACAATGCTTAGTCGCGACATCAAAAATAAGCTGCAAGTGATTCATTGGACAGACCAATTTTAGAATAAATAATTAAATACTTTAAAAGCAAATCAGACTATATATATCTTGAGTAGATATTGTACAGATATGGAAATGACAATTGGTTTACGTGCTCAACTAGGGTGATCTCCCCAAGATACTTCGCACTCATGTAGATATTCTGTTCCAATGAATTCCAACAACAACAAAATAGTCTGTTTCAGATACAGTACATCCCATGTGATAAGAAACTAACTTGATGTTGAAAGCAAAGGGGTACATATTTTGACTGAAAGTCTTCAGGGTGTTGAAACTATCAACCTATGAAGCAAAATACCTGAAGAATACAGGTTGTTCAAACTATCAACCTGTGAAACAAAATACCTGAAGAAAAGCACATAACATGCAGATAAACGATTGCAACTCCTTTCACCTTTCTTTATAACTAACAGTATTGAGTTCTTTGTGAATTTAGTGATTATTGCTTTACAAACTTTGTCAAGCACACACAGCGGCACGCGTCAACATGTACATGTATACCTTCTCAAATCTCAACCCCATCAAAGAAGTGTACATGATTATCACGTCAAAGGAAAACCTTAAGGCCAAATACTAGTTGAGTATGATAGGAAAACTTAATCAGATTAGACAATTTAGAATAATGGAAGAACCAATTGCAACAGAATATCTAGTACACTAGAAATGTATCAAAACGAGAGTATTTTCCCTCTGCTTCTAATAATCAAGCTCTAGCCTGATGTTCTTATTTTGTTAGGATGACAAATTTTGTTTAGTTCCATCTTGATGACTCTGCAGCTCCAATTATCCTCAAGCACTCATTGATTTTCTGAACAAACATCTGATGCTGACATGCAATATTTTGGTGTTTGGTTGTAGCATTGGTCAACATGTGTATTTCCACTCCATGTTAAAGTGTGGAAAACAGATGAATGACTCTCTAGAACCATCAAGTCAGAATGTAAATTTAATAATACTGCTTTTCAGAAACATTTGTTAGCTAATCTACTATGTTTCAAGACATTATCTTGCCTTCAAGTTGTGCCAACAAGAAGGTGGTCTAATGTTAAGCCAGAGAGAATACTCCCAAACAAGTAACTTAGGCACATGAATATATTTTGTTTATCAGATTCTCCACCTAACAAGTCCACTTATGTTCAATAAGAAAATGATGGCACACCTTGTTGTGATCCTTGTTTAAACAATGCAAGCAACGCTGAACCACATGATTTCCATTGACATCCATCATGAGATTAAGAATTCCAGGTTGAAGAGCCCTTATAACTAAGGAAATTTCCAGCCTGGTCTTCATTGTCTCAATTAACTTTTGCACGACACGGGTCCTGAAACGACGAAATGATTGCAACTTAGTTGAAACAAATGACAGTTCAAGAATCAATAATATGAAAAAAGATTGAGCAGAATTTTGCTGTTCTTACCCATGTGTTGTCCTAGATGTTTTCACAAGCTCTCCTGGATCTTTAGTCACCATGAGCACAAACTCAATTCTCTGCTCATCATTACAGACAGACAATAGTTTCTGCACGAGATAGTTCCCAAATGGATCCTTCATTAACTCAAAGATATGATGAATGATGCCATTGAATATTATCTGAACATCTTCAGAGGTCCCTTCATCAAATATCCTCTGTAAATACCTACACCCCAGCTGATCTTTTGCTGCCAAATACACATGGTTCTGTATATTTCCATCCTTTAAGGCCAAATCATTTCTACTAGCTCCTCTTACTTGGAATTCATTCTCCCCTAAACCAACTTCACAAGATTCTCCAGAATGCAATAAGCCATTTCTCGCCGGTTTCTTCTCTTGCAACCTTTCCATTTTAATCTCACTCCTTGTTTTTTTCTTCTGACCCTTTAAACCTCTCTGCTCAGAAGCATATTTTAAGCATTCCCCTTGCATAATGAAACTGTCTTCACAACTGTAACTATCTAGGCTTCTTGAACTTGGCAATGGAGATAAAGGGTGGTTCATTATGCTAGTAGGCCTTTGCTTTGCAATGGAACAATCATATTCAGAACTTAATCCCATCAACTGAGAGCCATGTAACGAGCTAAAGAAACTCCTATCAACACCAACATCATCAAATCCACTGTGCTCTGAGTATCGAACGCCCTCGTTACTACAAGGCCTATTCATGTTACACCAGTAATCATAGTTAATTTTCTCTTTCTGATACTTACAGAGGTCTCTAGACAGAGGATTAAGATGAACAGACCCCATTGAATCACACAAATTCTCTCTCCTATGGCCTAATGCTCCTCCTCCACCTCCTCCACCTGACCCTTGAAAATCACAAAAACCATGATGAGAATTTCCTGTTCCATTGAAGAAATGATCAACCTTATCATCAATATTCATCCCATAGAATCGCTGAGACAGACCCATATCAACAACTTTATCAAAATTTTGGTCATTAAACATGTTAGAAGACCAACCAGAACCTCCCAGGTGTAGTGGATGATGAGTATTATCGAGTACACCACCTTGATGAATATTCTGATCAAATACATTCCAAGATTCATCACCATATGAACCAAATCCACCAGACAACGAACTCGAACCCGAAGACGAAAACCCCATCATCGCTGTCGCATCACCTTGATCATGATACTGATGATTCAAATACGAAACGTCTCCCTTCAACATCCAAAGCATTTCTTCATGACCCTTCATTTTTCCCTCAATGCCCTTCTCTTTACCTCTATACATCACAACCCAACACTCTTTTACAAGCTAATATTATAACATAAATTACACGTACAACTATTGTAAGACGTTAAACATAGATAAAATCAAGAAACCCAGTAATTAAAACACCCAAAACAATACATTCATATCT